CTCCTTTCCTTACTCAATAAAGCAGCTTTATTGAGAAATTACGAAATCGATACTCTTTCGGCATCTACTGAACGGTGAACTGAACTGAACTCATGTGTTCAGAAAGTGACTGTCGTTACGCTTTCTCTACCATTTGGAATACTTCAGTCGTCTTATTTTCAATAATTGAATCATGCCTCGTTTGACGGTTTCATTTCGCACACTTCAATACTTTTCACCACTCATACTCGATAGCTTACTGTCTGACTCCTACTCACCTTACTTGAATGTCCTAGCTCCATCTTAATTATATAGATTCTTGTGATTGTTCACCTCCGATATCTTTTGTCAAGCAAAGGATATTTGAGCAAACTTCCTAAGAAATCGAACAACCTTCATTTTCAGGTTGATCTGTTGAGGAATGTGAACTCTAATTAAATTGATGTTATAATTGTTCCGATATCATTGTAGTTAATAGAATTAAGATTCAAGAATAGAAATTGGTGACCACTGATGTAGGTGACATTATTATTTCTTTCCAACTTTCCTAGTTTCAATTTCTATTCCTCAGTAACTACATCTCATTAGATGATAGGGTCTGATGATGAGGATTTTCAGCACCGTCTGCATTCTCTCCTCGTGAACCATCCTCAAAATACCAGCTCTGGAATTATTCTAGGGTAGCTGTTCTCGTTAGTACGTGTTTTCTATCGTTCATAACTCCACAGTCACAGTGCTGACTGCACAGACAAAGCCTCTTACGGAAATTGCTGCGACAACCACTGCCATCATACGTCGCATGTAACCATGGTCCACTGGCACATTTGTGAAATTGAATGTCACTTCAAAACTATACCTAATGACCTCATGATGCAATGAATTAAATGTGCTAGTCAACCGATTTGTGGACTAACTTTGTTGTGGAATAACCATGTCCATTCTAATCTTGCAGTTATTTCACAATCCACACACCATGTGTACCATCGAATATATGAATTCGACAGATAGAAACATAATTATTTCACAATCCATGAATCGCATTCGCTATCTAATTTGTGATTGAAATGGACGCGTAGATATTTCAAGAAAACCTGTGAGCGGCCTATTCATTGACTCTTATAAGTGGAGAAGTTTTGCCATAATCAACAATTTTTCAATTATCCTCAAACTTAAGTTTCATGGTCAAAACATTCGATATCCACCTGGAAATACTCTTCGGTTGAAGTTAACACAAAATATGGATTCACCATTTCCAATATACAGAAAGCTGCTTCGTGGTGTTACACCAGATGGACTAACAAGAGTGATTTCACATCTGTATTTCTGGAAAGTCGGATAATTGGGACATGTGTTGAATGATTCCCACTGCAGATATACTCAGTTGCTTGGATAAACAAACCTCAAGCTTTCAATGTGTGCCTCCACTCTTTGTCATTCGATTTCAGGTCTGCTGTCTAATCCCATCCTGTTTTGTGACTTTGTGTAAATGCATATAGTGCTACAGCCGACCTATTAATTAGACTTCTTATCTTATTTGGGTCAAGTGATCTGAATTTAGCTAGTTCTTTAGACCTCACAGATATAAATGTCTCCATTCTGTTACAAACTAAATATTACCTTATGATGAAGAAAGATGATTCAGTTACTGCATTATAATCCGAGATCTTGTAAATTATGGTTTCATGATTCCTTGATAAATCAGATAACATGCAATAGCCAAACGTCAGTCAAAACAGTATCATTTTGTTTTCATTCATTCAGAAATGCGAAAACCTTAACTGACTGTCATATACCCAATGCCCAAATTTATCTCAATCTATTGGACGCTTACTTGGTTTGGACATAGATGACTGCGCACGTGAGCGAAGACATAGAAGAAAGTAAGTTGAATTAGCCAAAATGGTAATAATGACAGTAATAATAGTGGAAATTCAAAGTTAGAAGAGTGGATGAAAGGATCATCAGTAAGACTCCATACATATCATGTTGACGGCTATGGCAAAGCATATGGCTATACAAATTTCTTTTGAACGCGCAGATTTGAATTATCTAGGTGGATTTGTTTTGTCTTCGATGTAAGAAATGTTCGAACTATTAGAACATGGGACAAACACATAGATGAAATGCGACGAATAACTTCATCAGACGTGTTGGTCACAATTTGATATCGTCTGTTAACGTGTGGAGCTAACCTAGGAACTTGTATCGATTTATTGGACTCTTTCACCAACCATGACTAGTGGTGTTTGGAAATTCGATGATGGAGTTGCTTGACAGTGCACCCAGTGTAACTGGCACCACATGAACACTCGAATTGGAAAATATACATGGAAGAAGCCGAATTGTTGAGTTTGTGATTATTTCGCGTACCGAGTATTGGTTGGCTAGAGCATAAACTGCATAATCTGGCTACTCCTCTGTTTGTCTTCTCCAATAAAAATTGCAGTTGAATGAGCTTAGTTAAATGTTTCCAACATGCCGCACAACCTGTATGTAACAAGACCGACAGATCTTGATGTTCATCCGGAAAGGCTGATTCCGGTGAACTCATTTGCTTGAGGGCTATGTGTGGTGGCATTCATTACCAGTTTTCCACAAGAAATGAAAGTATCGAAAGAGATGAATTTCAATAAGCATACTAGCTCATATCAATCAATACATCAGCGAAGTTGGATAAGCGTGAAAAAGGCACGTGAAGAGATGACTAGTTTCATGAATCAGTTTCATTCAAGGCTCGCATAGAAAGGAAGCAACTGTGGTTTTCTGTCAGAGTAGGAAAGAGGAATACGCCTTCCATGTGAAGTGAGACCGATCTGTTCAGAGTCTTTAGAAAAGGAACAAGTTTACATCCATATTGTACTAGTAGTAACGAGACAATCTAAAATGTTTGTCGAGAGACAAATGAACAAACATGTAACAGGGTGAAGTCTGTCACAGTTGAAAACAAATGCTTCTTGATGAAGCTTGAAACTTTGGAAAAGAACCATCAGACAATTGGAGGGAAAACGGTGAGTGCACCTAGGAAAGCTTACATTTTATTCCACAAGCTGACGTAGCTAGCATTTTGTCTAACAGGACTTAGTGATAGATGTGAGATTGAGAGCAGATTATATTTTCTAAATTAGGATATGAAGATTCTCAGGTGTGGTGGAGATGTCGAACAATCACAAGGGGCACGGAAACCGAAATCACACAGGCCTCGATTTACGGTTGTGTGTCATGTCAACTAATTACTTCCGACAAACGGATGTGTTCAAGAGATGCGTAGAAAGAGAATGAAATGTCGTTTTGTGAATGAAAGTTGAAGAAAATGAGGCGACAGCTAAGAAGAGAGAAATGGAAGAAAGTCGATGATATATATGGAAGCTGGACAAGTCTATCTTCAATTCATAGCTCTCACTGCTACATACAATTACTCAGGGATTCGATAGTGCCTAGAAGTGGGATTTATACTACCCGCGGTAGATCTCTTGTTAAAATGTTATTAACTCCAAACAATCTGTCAGTCAACATATAGTAACAGCTGCCCACGCAGTGCGTGGTTATAACACTCACGAATGAACCAGCATAACCTACAAACAACCATGCTATGTAGCTTTCTCGAAACCGTTTTGAGGGGACACAGAACCACCTAGATGCTCGGCTCAACAGTATCCAGTTTCAGTCACATAGTTCTCGTCAGTAAACCAGAGAAACCTGATATCGTCTCAAATATGGGTTGACATATTTTGACATGATCACTTTCAGTCAAATGTTATTCAGCAGTCTCATCTGGTATGATGGATCATGCAGAAATATTCGTCGCAACTGACACAACTCACTGGTAGCAGATATCGGTTTACTGAAGAAACCGAATCTCCACCCTTAGATATTGAACAGAATACGTTGATGACAATGCAAGCATGTGCTATCGGACAAGGTTGCCTATTAGGCCTGTATCTCAGCGAATATCGCTGGATGAAATACGATATGTTTTCATTTTCATTGCACTGAGTGCAGTTCACAGTGTTCTTAAGATTTTCTGAATACATGAAAAACAGAGAAGCGTAAAATTTGTCTTAGTGTAAAGAACACAGAGATGAGTGATGCTTATGAAATGTTGATCACCAGGATATGTATTGCAAATTGATTGGACGGGATTCTGAATTTCACTAAATAGACATCTAACTGAGGATCTGTTATGTCCTTTACTTGGTAGTAGATTTTTAATCGTGTGCAGCTATAACAAGTGAAATTCAACATGACAGCGAAGGATGGGTTATTGGTGTACCATTATAGCACAGGAAATCCCAGTCAAGTGATGTGCTACCTATACCAACTGGCTGCTTACTGATTGGTCGTATCCTCAGCAATCTATGAGCCTCCCCTCTTATCCTCAAAGCATACATCTATTTAGAACACATGAGGAAGTGATGCCTCACAACATTCCTCGGACAACGAGATCCTGACCACCAATCAATAACCTCTAAATCATTTATTATCTGAACTGACATGGCTGGCTTATATGTAAATCCTGAAGAAAAGCCATGTAAAGCGCACTACATCATGAACGGTCCTCACACTAACCAATGCTGGTCCATCACAAACAAGTTTGTCTCCTGAATGTCATTAACTACTTGTGATATGCCGAATAGTCATTTACACTGGAATTATGGGAAACGTGTTGCGTAAAAATGAATTTACCCGGTGTTAGTGGATATCAGTTTCGAGTTCAGAAACAACTGATGCTGGGACGACTAATCATTATCCACTGAGTTTTGGCAAGCGAGACAAATAGTTAGGTTTTTCATCATTCTGGATTATTTTGTGCTCAGATCAATGATGAAGATGCCTCAATGTTAGTTGTCGTTTGTTTGCTCTTATTCATTCCAAACCCAAGTCTACTGCTCTAAACTCAGAACTGTGCTGACTACATTTGTTGAGTTTGTAGAACACCTTGAAAGAAAATCACTTGTTCAAATAAGAAGGTAGTAGATTACTTTGCAAAATTTGTTTATTTTCAGGGATTCACGCGACTCAGTACAAGGAGGTTTAGCCACTGTTAACATCTGCCAATCTTATCTGTGACTCACCGAAATCGAATACAGTGTAAAACTTGCTCATGAATACATCGCCGAGAACCCAATATCCAGGGGGTAATTCATCACTACTGACAAAGGGTGATGTACAGTCTGTATACAGCCAGTTTTCCTCCTAAAATCGAAAAAACAACGTATTTCCTTCAGTTTGTGAGTTCAAGTATTGGAAAGAAAATTGATAACAACCTTAGTGTATGTTGAATTCGCCTACTTACACATCTGACTCCCACTGGTTGGAATACAAAAAGTGTGCGTTTTTTGAAGTCGACACGAATATGCTGATTACAGTGCAGAGTGAATGAAAATAACGGAACCAGATGAATTTGTAGAGAATTATTTGAGGTTGAGAATATGTTAGGAAAAATGGTTGACAGCGTTTTATAGAGAGAAGTGGAAGATAAGAAAGGGGTGAGGAACTGTGATAATCTGACATTTATTTAATAAGTTGGTGCTGGTCACTCCATAAATAAATTTTAATTTTTGTGGTGATTCCTTCCATGCGTAATATCAAAGTAAATCAACCGACTGTAAATAACTCTGTACAAATCATATTAGAAGCTCACATTTCCCACAAAATCCCGTTCACTTCTACAGATAAGTGACTAAAATCAATCCACACTGGTTGCATGGATTTCACAATACTTTTTACTGCCTATTGAGTGAAAACTAGTGACATTGGTGAAGATGTTTTCTCAGTGTGTTGATCACAGGGGAATCACAATGTTCAACTGAATGATTATACTCACCTTAACCACGTAATCCTTCGGGTCAAGTACATAGGTCCTCTTCCTGAAGACAAACTTGATTGCAGGGAGCATGTGAATATGACTACAGTCGAATGAGTACTCACCATGGTCACTCAATCTGGCACCAAGATAATCATTAATCGCATCCACCACTCTACTATGTCCCAGTATCAAAGACGTTCCAGTATCTATAATACCAACACATGTTCCAAGGCAAAAGTCTGCTCCAGCTATCTTCATGCTGAACACGATAAAAAAACAAACAATTGAAACATTAACCAGTCAATTCAACGAAGAGGGTATTGATCTAAATTAATCCAATCGCAAAACTATTCGCCCTAATAATCTAACGCAATGAGATTACTTGGTCCTGCTCAGCTATCTCCACACAAAAACAGAATTCCCTTTCTGTTGGTTCACTTTCAGCTCTCATCGGAATTTCCTGCACCCTGAGCCAATAACAGCCTTCACCAAATCATTCTAATAACTTTCTTCATTGGAATATCCGTAAACATATACAAACCATGCTGAAAGTATGCACATCGTGAAAGTTTTTACCTGAGATTGCGTGAGACAACTTGTCTTCACACCATCAGCATTTTGACTAGGATTCATTTGGAGATACACCACTCAGGTGGACAACGGAATAAAATCAAGCAGATGACATTTTCTTCGATAACTCAGTGAAGGACAACCACTAAGTATTTATGCCAGCATCTGTGTGTTTATCGGCATGTTGAAATAGATAGTCAGCATGTGTGATGTAGTTTGGTAGAAGGGGAATCAGTTTTCACGTGTTGAAGTGGTGGTGGTCGAATTACTGGTTCATTTGTTGGGAATTGAATATTTTACGTACAGACCAACCGTGAGAAATTACGAATGCAGAATATCTGTCTACTTATTTGACATCTGGACAATAATAATACAATAATAATATTTGACATCTGGAGCTTTCAAATCATCTCTCGTCCAATAGATGTTTGCTTGAATGTAAGACTTTTATTACTGGAAGAGTAAGAATTGTTGCGTATACTAAATATACTTTGCTTAGAAGACATAATTGTGATAACTAGACCATATATTCTACGGTTTTAGTATCCACGTGAAAAAAAAAATGATAATTGAACACAACATTGTTCAAATTCATTAAGGGGAATAAATGTATAAAAGTGATATGTTCGCACATGAAATCATTCAAGCATCAATTGACTACCTTTTGATTATAACAGACCAACTGTTTTCAGAAACGACAGGCAAGTTTTCGAAATCTCCAATAAAATATTCAGGATTGACACCACCAATCACCATCTCTCCACCAACATGACCATTCTCCCTACAAAATACAAAAACATGAAAACTGTGCTTAACTAGCTTGGCTAGAAGTGAGTTCAACTTCGCGTCTCTCCAACATAAATGTGAATGGTAATCATGATAAACATGACGCACATATTTGCATGAAATCACAAAATTCAATAGTTGCCTATAACACTTCACATTTCAATGGCATTTAAGTTCCAAGTGAAGGCCAAATAAGGTAAGATTTCTAATCACAGGCAGTACTACTTTTCAAATATCATGTCATAATAGTGCACATTTCTAGCGAAGTGTGCATCAGAAGACACTACTCATGACAAATAATCGTTGCAAATACTCCGGTAATTCAATGTCTGTAACACCAGATGAAGAGACAGTTTCGAACAGTTCATAGAGAATGATCGTACTGGACAAATGGAGGAAACACTATCATCAGTTGCGGGGAAACTGAAGAACGAATTCGATTTTATTTTTAGCCCTAAGATATTTGAGCACTTAAAGTTCTCGGATTCTGTTAATCGCTGTGTGCATTGTTTCTTGAGAACACATCTAGAGAGGGTGTCAATACTTCTGGTTTCACACAGGGATAATTTTCGCTCAGTTATAAACCAACTTTGGAGCTATGAATCGATTGGGGAATGTGTGAAGTTAGATTACTGTATTGAGGCAATTCAATGAGTGTCCGTAGTTAACTTGCTCATATGGAGCGAGTCATATACACCCTGAAAAATTTACTCTGTCAAGTATTTCTGCATACGCTTATTCGAAAATGACCTTAAACTGATACTTGTTCGATGGATTCCAAATTTATTTGACAGCGCAGATTCATCTCATATATTTATATAAAGATAATCTTATCTATTTGCTTATAAGTGGATCTAAATTCCGAATAACTAAATATCGAGTCACATTAGTCACACCAGATAGATATGAATGGCAGAGAATTACTCACATATCTAGTCATTATGAGCCGTTGATTGCAAGTGTAATACTACCACGATGTAATTCAGAACCTACCGATTCAAATAGAAAGAAAATACTGGATCCATATCCTTTGATTGAGAGAGTATATTCGGGAAGAATGGAAGGTTCCCATATCTTGACACAATCCTCCTTGACATACCAACGATTCCATCAAACTTACTACCAAAGAAATCGTCGGAAAACACATTTGTCACTTCGGCAAACGGCTGATTGTGAATAACTAAGGAGTTTATCTGAAACCAGTCACTTCAAGTCGAGAAACCACAATACCTGCATTGTATCCATGCTCCAATATCCAGAGTAACTACCACTGAGGTAACTTATATTAAATTCGGTACCATTCGACTGGTAGGTGGATGATTTCGAACTGTCGTAGAATCGAATGAACCAACATGGAATGTCAAGAAACCAACATTTTCTTGAGGGAAGCCAGGTTTCGGTTGATCCTGTGTCGAAGAGTACACGAAACTTTTGTGGTGGCGTTCCCACTAGTAATTCTCCATAGTACTGAATCTGAAAAGGATAAAATGAATGTGAGATTTGGAAAATCGCCTGTGATTTCAATGTCCAGTCTACATTAATGACAATAATAAGTAGTTTTAAAAGACTTTTACAAATATTTGATTGATGTATCCATGTGTGGAATAACATTAAACTGAAAGTCATCGAAGTATTGACAATACAATCTGGGAGATTTAACAATTCAGATAATGAAATCTGATCGAAGAAAGAATAGAAGTAAAGCAGTGTGCAAGAGTATCGATCCATCATCAAATACTTTTATTTTGTGTCACGGTGTTGTGGTATTATTTACTTACACGTGACATCGAAACCACGGTGTAGTGCAGACTGTCGTGTCAACTTAATATCTAGTTTGTAGTCGTGATGAAAACTCATTGAACCGCTAACAATGAACGACAATAACACGTAGGTATTCTCTTCAAATTAACACTTGCCGGTGATAAAGTCAGGAAGGAAAATCACAAAACTTATTTTCGTTTTTAATAATAATAATAATCTGCTTCAATTCCAAAAACAGTATTTATAATACAGAATGCAATTCTAAGCATTTGTCACAATATTCCATCTGATTTACTCAAAATAGAAATAAAATTTAAAAGTAAAACAAAATTAACCGGAGGAATTTGTTCGCATTTTCGACATAAAGTCAAAAATATTCGAAGCACTATTTGAGATTATTAAATATAATAATAATAATAACGATGAGTTTGTTCCAAACGGTATTATCGATTCAGTTTGGAAACTGTAGCATGTTATAGATTATTGGATCTAATGTTCTGTTGATATAGTATAATGAGGGGAAATACAAAATTAACACTTATAACACAGCTTAAATTATGTCCACACTTAAGAAAAAAATAAACAAAACAAAAATTTGAGAGGATTATATATTTAAGAAATACAATAACAATAAAGTTTGATGCTGTAAGGGTGGAGGAAATGGTTTACTTAGTGGTGCAAAGAAGGTTAGTTAGTTCATGCCTGACACTATTTTCATCACATAAAATACGTGCTAAATATGGTATAGTGGAATTTTTATACTTAGACGTACGTGCATAAAGTCTTCTGAAAAGACTTCTTGTTTTACCTGAGGAGACACAATGTTGGAACTACGGGTAAAGTGGATGCTCACAGTCTGACAAAATTCCTTTAGCGAATTTGTTGCATGACAGCAAGTGCCTATCAAACAATGACAACGATATGGCTCAATGGGATACCACTCGTCCTACTGACAGTCTTCAGAGTTCTACGAAGGATGACACAGTCTATTTTAAGCAATCCAGGAAAGAATAAGGGTGAACAGTAAAGAAGAATAGGTAAAATACACGAATTGACAAACTGTGAGAGGAGTGGTTGGGTTATGCCTGATTACCTCAACTTCTCAATGTAAAAAGTCAGATGAAATATTCTCGTAGAAATCGCTAAGACATGGGAGGACCAGGATAGGTCAGAAGAGAGAATTAATCCAAGACTTGGTTTCTATGTCAGTATCATCAATTTTGCAAGGGTCATAGGAACCAACGGCTTCATTTAACTTTCGTTTACATCGGAAACTGAAATTAACAGTCTGACATTTGGAAGGATTAAGTTTAAGGCCGTTAGCCGAAGACCATTTGCTTACTCCTGATACAAAGCTGTTCATCTTAGTACAATGTAGCTGGGAGTTAACATACGTTGAAATAGTTAGATCATCGGCGTACTTAACAAAGTTCATTTCATCAGAGTGAGGCAAGTCAGGCAAGAAGAAAGAAAACAGAAAAGGAGAAAGTACAGCGCCTTGAGGGACACCAGCCTCAGTAAGCAACGAGGTGGACGACTTTCCCTCAAACTTAAACTCAAACAGTATCAACGAAATCATTTTAGGTACTCTGATTCTGCATTCAACAACAAATATTTCAATACTTAGATTTACATTATTTATCTAGTACTACAGATTCAGACAACATTCAAGTCAACAAAAATTCACTTCATTACCGAAAGTTGACTTACTCTGCCATAATTATACAGCGGTTCTGATGTTGGTGTATCTCCACCATTCAATAAATTCATCCAACTTCGTTGGAATACCCTGAACATTTTTCGATACGGATTCAGCATTGAACTGATTCCAGTCACTGGATGCAATGGAATCTTGATAATCTCAGAATTGACATGACACAGACAGATGAGAAATATGATCAGTTTCATTGCAGTGAATACAAGAAGCCGACGCGAAAACGTTGACGATGTTTTTCTGTCTAAATGTACACACTCTTATATTAACATGCTCGTAACAACGAAATTTCTGATTGGAGATCACTGTGATTTTGTTTGTTGTCAGTAAATTATTCAGTGATGTTTGTGAATGATGGCAAATATGAACATGCTTTATGAATAACTAAATATATGCGATATACGTGTAACTGAGTCCCCTTAGCATAAGACATTTAAGATGTGTGTACGTCATTTCACATGTCTGTTTGAATACTTCAAATAAGAAATAATTAAACGAACAACTGTTTTCAACAACATCGCCTTCGGTTCAAATAGTTACAAATCTGTGAACATTTTCATTCAGTAGACGCCGAATGAGGCAACATAACCTTGTCAATAACAGCAATATAATTGATAGTGTGGAATGGATTCTGTTGAAAAGATGGTGTTGTTTTTATAGTAATATTAGGGTTTACAAAATATGCAGTTAATGCAAATAGAAGAGAAGATAATAGGTTGTCTCGTGTAGGAACCGTTATACAAGCTTAAAGGAATGAATAATTAGAACTGAATAGAATGATACTGTGTGTGAAATTAACCAGTAAGATATGCATGATTACCGTTCAAATGGTGGCCAATAGTATCAAAAATTATGATAATAATACTCAACACTGAATACTGGAGAGGCGTTTCGTTCTAGTTTGAGACTCTTTAGTTGTACACAACCCTGGTAGCTACATGTGCACCGACAGTTGACAAGACTCGAATTAGGGATCTCTGATTTTTATTGATTCTCTTATGGATTTCAAATCACCATCTGAGAATGACTCGATAGAAACTGTAGTCAGTAAGTATTGTTGATTCTCGATTCGCCTCCTTACTGCCCATCAGTTTGTTGTCCTCTTTTATTTCCTAAATATAAAACATTTATATTATTTAATCTTATTTATTTCATGTAGTTTTATGTCGTCCAATCTCCGTAAAAGTAAATTCTGTCTGGACACATTTTATGTCAGTTGCGATTACGCAGGGCAAATATCTCACTTTAGTCAAGAACAAAATGTTCACACAGAATCAATTCCATTTCTGGTTGAATACTCTTTTGCATTCACAAACAAGTCACATTATCCTCAGCTAGTCACACACATTCAATCTTTCACTGAAGTGGAATTCTACCTGATTACCAATAGTTTCCACACGTCTACATCCTGGGAACTGTTGAAATGAATGGTTAGTGAGTATAACGAAATTAGCATTAGTTATCAAACAATTAATGAATTAAGAAACACTGACCTGAATTGTAAGTAGTTTCAGGGAAGC